TCTTTCTTTCCACGGCCGTGTGATATGCATTACAACAAACTCAACTGCAGCGAATCAATCTTTGGTTGAGTTGGTTAGGTGGACAGTGGTATCCCCAACCCACCAGGGTTTAAATCCTGGTGCTCGCATTATTCCTGGATTTATTTCAGGATTTCCGGCGATGCGTTTTTAGTGAGAGGAGACGTTCCCGTCGATGACGAGGCGTCTACGGTGACTTCGTAAATCTCAAAATGACGATGCGTGTGTGCCTTCATAAGGGTGAGTGTATGCGCGTGTATATGAGCGCTTGTGTCTGTATTGATGCTCAAAAAAAAAAACTCAACAACTAGCTAAGTTACTATAACTACCTCTCTCCTCATTAACTCATTGCCACATAAGCAAAATTTGCTGAGTTGGACTTGGTGTTACTGCTGAAGTTACTCCCGCTATCGCTAGTCTTAGAGTAATCAGGATCATCCACCAGATCTCCTTAAGATCACACCGCATATCATTATTGAACACATCTCCTTAAGAGCATCTACAGCCGGACCTCACAAATCCGGTCCCTCAAACGCCTGCCCGGACGCACCCAGCGGACATTGACCGGGCACCTCTCAAATAACGTAATCCACATCAGGATATCTCAATTATCACGTCTCAAATCCATATAAACTCATGCAACTACGTAGACATCGTCGGCTACTCCATCACTACCGACTAAGAAAACCCAAGAAGTAGCACGAAACTCAAAACAACAATGGATGCATGGTGATGCGTCCCTTGCATGCATGCATGCATGTTAGTGGGAAAACCACTCCCGAGGCCGTACGTTAGCTAGTTCATCTCCACGGCAGCTGCTTTCACCTGCTTGTCTTTGGTGGCTGTGTCGTCGTCGTCTTCGACGGCGGCGTCCTTCATGCCGAAAAGCTTGCCTATGTCCTCGAGCGGCTGCCCGCGCGTCTCCGGGACGAAGGCGTAGAAGAAAAGCCAGCCGAGCGCGGCGAGGCCGGCGTAGAGGAAGAAGCTGCCGCCGATGGTGATGGCCTTGGACAATGAGAGGAAGGTCATGGAGATGGCGGCGCTCGTGACGCGGTTGCACGCCACGCCGAGCGCGAAGCCGAGCGCGCGCACCCGCAGCGGGAAGACCTCCGAGACGTAGACGCTGGTGATGGGGCCGAGGCCCATGGAAAAGAAGGACACGTAGGCCAAGGTGGAGGCGATGCAGAGGCCGATCGCCCACGTGATCTTCTCGTCCGGGTGCTGGCCCACGACGGTGAGGCCCGTGCCAAGGCCGATGAGACAGACGAGCATGCCGGCGGTGCTGGTGAGCAGCAGCGGCCGCCGGCCGACACGATCGATTTGGAAGGTGGCCAAGAGGATGAAGAGGGTCTTGGTGACCCCCATGGCGCAGGTGACGCCGAGCAGGTGGTTGTCGCCGGTGATGCCGGCGCTCTTGAACACGCGTGGGCTGTAGAGCACGACCGAGTCGGAGCCGGTGGCCTGCTGGAAGAAATGGACGCCGAGCGCGGCGAGCAGTATGCGGCGCATGACCGGGGTGGGCGAAAAGATGAGCTCCTTCCACACCTGCTTCTCGTTGCCGCCTTTTCTCTTGGGCACGGCGACCACGTCGCCGTCAAGGTCGTGGGGGATGCCGGCGGCAGCCTTGATCTGGTCAAGGCGCTCCACGGCCTCCTCTGGCGTGTCAGAGGTCTTCCCAAGCACGACCCTGGCATCCGCGAGGCGGCCCTTCATGACGAGCCACCGGGGCGACTCTGGCATGCCGAGCACCATGAGCGCGAGCAAGGCCGAGGGGACGGCGCCGACGCCGAGCATGATGCGCCAGTTGATGTGGTGCGGGAGGCGCGCGAAGGCGAAGTTGGAGACGTAGCCGAGGAGGATGCCGACGTTGATGAAGACCTCGGTGAAGGAGGTGAGCAGGCCGCGGGTGGAGGCCGGGGCGACCTCGGCGGTGTAGACGGGCGCGACCATGATGGCGAAGCCGACGCCCATGCCGCAGACGAAGCGGCCGAACATGAACATGACGTAGTTGACGGCGAAGCCCATGAGCAGGGAGCCGGCGAAGAAGATGGCGGCGGCGATGATGACGGTGTAGCGGCGGCCGATCCAGTCGGAGGTCCTGGCGCCGGCGAAGGAGCCGAGGAGCGCGTAGACGCTGAGGATGCCCATCATGATCTCCACCTGCACGTCCGTCAGGCGCAGGTCCTCCTTGATGTAGAGCGACGCGCCGCTCATCACCCCGACGTCTGGAGTGGCCGGTCGGAGCGAGCAGAATTAATAATTAATTATGCACGCATGGCGAAAGGAAAGGAAGAAAGAAGATGCCATTGGCTTGACGCGTACCGTAGCCGAGGACGACGGTGGCCATGGAAGCGGAGAGGGCGCAGGTGCAGGCGTACTTGAAATTGCTCTTCTTCTTGGGCTGGACCGCCGCCGCCGCCGCCGCCGCCTCTGGGACCGAGAGCGCAGCAGAAGCCATCGCCGATCGACCCTTGTTCCTTGACCAGCGAATGGAAGCGTTGCGTTGGCCGGTGGTGCTCCCTACCTCCGTTGCTACCCTTATATACGCAGTGCGCGCAAGGCGTGTTGGGGAAGAAGAAGGTGGATGTGATCGATGATAACTAAAATAAGAGAAGAGGATGCCGATGGAGTGGGAGTGGGAGTGGGAGTGGGAGACCCGGGAATATATGCGCGCGTGATCCTTTCAGATGATTTGACGCAGGTATCGTCTTCCATCGCTCCGTCCCAAAATTATTGTTATAGATTTATCTAAATACGGATGTATCAACCATTAAAATGTGAATAGATACATCTACAGACAAATCTAATTTAAGAATGTTGGGATATCTCGAATCTCATTCTTACAGCCAATCAATCAAGGAAGGGAATAGTCTGGACACTGCCGTACCATCGCCACCCACCTAATAGTGGAATAGATACTCTTACCACTTACAGCAAGGCAGGCGATGCCAAGCTTGGTGTAAAACTGGCTTACAGTTGGTTACGGCAATCAGTCAAGGCGGCGAATCGATTGATGCACTTTTCTTTAGAGGAAACAGCTGCTCCGCTCCTTTTTTAGAGGAAACGGGATAAGCATCTGGGCAACAGTCAAGCATAGTGGGGACACCGTACCACTGTGCATGAGAAGCAACAAGGACTAAAAACAACGAAGACAAGTACGTACACTAGGCTACAACCACCCACACTCAGCAGTGGGGTGGCAACGCTCCAGCTCCAGCCCACCAACACCAAACGCCTACAACACCAAACCAGCAGTAGAAGGACCACCCAACGCACAAAGGAACTGTTAGCGTCTCAGGCCCAGCTCCCAACCTCCGGCATATGTTTGGACGTTTTCGATGCGCATCGGACACACCACTACAAGCAAAGAGCATACCACATCCCAAAAGATTAGTTTAAAAGGAGTGTGACGGTCTTCCTTATAAGGTGGTCCTAGCCCTCTCCTATATCTGAATTGGGACTAAAGTCACTGGCAATGTCAATGACCAGCGTCTCTAACAGGAACACGCGCAAAAAGAAACAAGTTTGAGCTGGGACCTGCGACTGTCAACATCTTCTCCTCCACCTTCTTCAAGCACATCTCCTCGTCACGCCCACTGCGACATCGAGGCGGCAACAGTTTTGAAAACCACATGCGTCACGTCCACGGCCGTGACGTGCACTACAGCCAGTCAGGCCAGCAGCTACTACTGGCCTTCACGAATGTGATGTGCACTACGGACGGCAGCTACAGCTACAGGAAACGACATTCTTCACCGGGCAAAAAGGAATGAAGTTACATGTTGATAATCAACGCACACCCCAACACCACCCGAAAAGTTTAATTAGGCCGCGAGCCACATCAAATGAGTGAAGGTCTGTGAACCAACATTGCCCCGGCCCATCGAAATTCAAGTCCTTGCTCGCATTTATTCTGGATTTTTTTCTTAGGATCTACGACGATGCATGTTCAGTGAAAGGAGACGTACCGTCGACTACGAAAACAAAATAATAGAATTAAAGACCAATTAAAGGCCGTGGGACGTGCACTAGAGCCACTACCACCTCAACACCCAGTGAAGAGAGGGCCTTCCCCTGGGATCTGATCCTGGGACAAGATTTGCCACTTATTTACAATACTAATCAGGATCATCCATCAGATCTGCTTAAGATCAGACCACATATATATATGGCATTATTGAGCACATTCAGAGGTAACTTTGAGCATAGGAAAAGAGATAATGGAGGCGATGGGAGCGGTAGATCGAGAAATTCACCTTTGTAGATGCTGATTTTGACCAGAGAAGCAGAAGAGCTCCTGATTTGGCGCAGCAGCAGCACTTGCTCCGGAAAAAAATTGGGTGGAGACCGGCTGCAAAACTCCTCCCCTGCATACCCGATCCGATCTGCCGCCACCTGTCCTACCAGTGCATCCCATGGCACCCGCTCGCGCCCGTGTAGCGCTCCTTTCTTCAGCTCGTTCCGTCGCTCCCGGCGCTTCCGCTCAGCTCGATCCGTAAGCTGCTATATCGGCTCAAGAAACCGAACACAATCCCCATCTTGTTCCACGTCCAGCGGACAGCCAAGGCCGAGCGATGCCGGCGGAGCGAGATGGCGGCGCCCGTGGAGCGGAGTGGCGGTGACGGCGGACCAGGAGGCACCATGGACACCTATGCCCAGGGCTCCACGAGTGGTGCATGTCCGTGGGAGAGCTGCTCAAACTGCCGGCGTCAGAAGACCCAAATCAGATGTCAGCCGCCGTGGACGACCGAAGTTGGAAATGGAGGCGCCCTTGCTGGCTCACAGCGTGCAGCACCCGCTCGGCGAGTATGTGCGTGTATGGCGCCGGCGTGCTCTCGTGGCCATGAGCTCGCCGGATATGATGTCCGTGTTCACCAACAACTGAATGAATTCGTTTTCCCGATTCAAAAGAAGAGTAGCTTTTCAGTGATGAATCAGCGCCTTCCATTATAGTTTGATTTTCTAGCTTTGTGGTCGTTGCAATTTTCTTGTCCATGGGCATCACAATTGTATCCTCTCTCCATAGAGCATGACTATATAATAGTTGAACTAGTATAATTTTCAGATTTCAACTCTGTTTGATATCACACTGATTTCTATTATCAATAAGCATGAATAGGTTCCCTTTTTTTGCAGCAGCTGTTCATGTCCGTTCTTGGATTTCATTGTTATGTGCTCTATGCTGCCGGCACCATCACATGCAACTTGTTTGTGTTCCACAAAGCCTCCTACAGTTTAGATGCCAGAGTTTTCTGAACTTCTCTGAATTATAATTGATGCACTGTCATTCTCGAAAAATAATAATAATTGGTGCACTGATAGTTAAGGTTTGCAAATATGTTTACAGTGGCCTAATGGTGATGTTGGATTGATAGATAGCTGGGTAGGAAGAGAGAACAAGTAAAGGTTAAACGGATAATCCGATGACACCGAGAACATGAAGTAGATCGTGTTAAGTAGACTGTATTATTTCTGCATTTTCATGGCCTGCTACGAGGTCAGAAAAGATGTCAAAATGCTCACTGATGTTCTGCTCAATGGATTGCAAGGAAGCATGTTTTTTTGGTTACAACGTACTTTCCTCAGTTAATTTCAAGATTCAGAAGCTTATGATGAAAATAATGTTGATACTCTATTTTAAATTGTTCACAATTATTGACTGTAAAATTTCTGATCTGTAAAATGATAGATTCTTGTGATCATCTATAAATTGAAAAAAATATGATGTTTTATATCATTTTTTACATGTTCATATCTTGATTATGTTGCAAACAGGAAAGCACAACTAGTAAGATAATGATTGTGATCGGTTACAACCTTTTGCACTGTCCAAATCCCCTCTCTACTGACACTAAATTGAACACGAGCCTGACAACCTGTTCTTGTAGTGGCCTTTGATGACTCGGTTTCTCGTTCTCCCTGATTACTACAAACTATATATTTCTGGGATATAGTTCGATCTTGGCGGCGCTTTGTCTGGCTCTTTCTGATACTAATCCCAATCTTGCCGGCATACGTGTTGTACATGTTGTATGCTTGCTGCTCTGAATCGAATGACTTTCCCACTTCGGGAACGATCAAAGCTTGCCCAACTTTATCAACCACCTACAGTAAAAAGTGTTGAGAATTAATGTTACATTACCACAATGTAAAATATATTTACGTTCTTCACAACACATTAATTTTACACTAGGTGCGTCATGGACGGAATACTTTATTTTGAATAAGCTATTATACTATCAAGCCAAATATTAGCAAATCATTGTTTACAAAATTAATAATATGTCATCCTCAAATTGTTCATTACAGAGAAACATCTTATCTTGACTTCCTAATCTAGCTTTTGGCATGGTAATGTACTATACACATGCAAACTGAGATTGTTGTAAGGGACAATCTCGAAGAACCAGGCAACGACCATACCTTTTGTATCTCCTCTCCGTCAGCTCCATGACCACTGTCGATCACATCGTCCTCCTGGCCTCTTTCTCTAGTCATGTTGGTTGTGTCATACTCCTGGAGTTCTGATACGTGCGGTGGCGGTAAGTCTATGTCGCATGTTGTTGCCTCCGATGCCACTGTCGACAGCGGGCTGTACGAGGTGAAGCAGCGGCCGTCCTCATCCGCATGGTTTACATCATCCATGGCGGCGACAGGGCCGAACTCCGGCGTGGCGACTCCCGTCCTTCTCGATGGAGGCAACACTTCAGGCAGCGGGAGCACGACCCGCGGCGGCCATGGCTCTCGTTCCGGGCCGATGCAGCCATGGGACAGAGAGGGCGGCGAGGCGTTCTGGCGCGGTGCGGCCATCGCTGACCCAGGGATCCCACGCCCACCAGTCTGATCGCGTGGAGAAGAAGGCTCCGATCCCTCGGCCATGGAAAGTCCGATTACCGCGGAAGTGATTGATACGGAGCCGCGTAGTTTGTTTCCTGGAGCCGATGCAAGGTACTGAGCCGAGAAGCGTACGTGCGGGTGGAGATGAGAGGATGCCGTGGGATGCATTGGTAGGACAGGTGGCGGCAGATCGGATCGGGTATGCAGGGGAGGAGTTTTGCAGCCGGTCTCCACCCAATTTTTTTCCCTTGCTCCGCTTACCCAAGGCGTGCAACACGTGTTAACTTCTTTCCTTTCTTGCCCCCACATGTTAACTTTTTGACTAATTACGGTTCCAGCTATCAGACATAACTAGCTAGAAATAAGGTGTGTGCCAAGGTGGATGGAAGATTCATCCATAATGATTTTTTTTTGCGATGAATCCGTAATGATTGTTGATACTATATTGTAAAAGATAATATTTTGGTTCACCTGCAATAAAGACTATTCTGGTGTTAGAAAAAGCTTAACAATGTCATAATTAAATTGTCCATTTTTTCGATTAGGAAAAGCCTAAGGATTACGCTCTTAAACACTTCCCATGTGAAGATACAAATATCACACTCCACATGCCTAGGAAAA